AATCGCAAAGCCTCAACTGCAAGTCATCGTGCAGAGCAAAATTCGGCGGATCGCCTTTTTCAAAGTCATCGTGCAGAGCAGTTAAATGCTAAAACTACATAGCATTAATGGAAGAGATGAAGCCAATTTGGTAAAAACGAGTGCCGGAACTCAAAAACCATAGAGCAACGAACAAAGGTGAAAAATGGTGAGGACAAAGGGGAACTCGCGATGAAACAACGATGAATTGGACTATGAGATCGTCAAAATCAATGGCGTGGTGAGTTTTATCACTTTTTTTTTGTTCGCGAAGTTATTTGAATGCAATGTTTTAACGAACATTTCTGTTAGTGAAATCATCATATTTGCGAATCGAATGCATGAATTGATGTCGTTTGGCAAAACGTGCATATTGTTGTTGTTTAATGCGCGTATTGTTAGGTCTAGGATCGATTGAAGTGAGAATGGTTGAGTAATTTGGAAATATGGATTGAAATATGGCTTCACTGCACTTAGTCTATGTTTTGGTTGTTATAGTTTTCAAATTAAGCAAAGCAATTGTGTGCATTGAAACGTATTATTGCACGCAGTGTTTGATTTAGTGTGATAGATCAGCCTAAGTGTGTGTATTTGTTGAATGTAATATGTTGTGTGCAGTGAACTAGATATAATCATTGTATTTTGTTGTGGTTTGAATCATTGTATTTTGTTGTATGTCTAATAATGTATATTTTAGTTATTTGGAATATGGCTTTAACTGCGTGTAATCGAAGTTTTGGTTGTTGAAATTGCAAATATTGCTAAACAAATATGTGCATTGAGGAAATTGAAAACTAAGCTAAGTAAATTTGTGCATTGAACTGTAAAATTGCAAATATTAGTTGTTTTAGTGTGATAGATCATTGCACATAATGTTTGCATGTGATGTATGTCATGTTTGTTATTTTGTTAGAGTAACCAATTTTAAGTTGTTTTTGAGGGAACGTAGTCTGTGTGGTGTTACTTGGAAATTGCAGTAAGCATGAAAACATGAAATTCATTTATTTTGCACCTTTAATGATAATAATTAATGCAAAAAACAGACTATAGTGTCATTATTGGAGGTCTTAACCTGTATTTATGTATTGTACTAGGCATATAAGCGATACTGTAATACAGAAGTTCTCGAGGCAAGAGACGACATGAGAGTTAGTAGTTTCTGCAATCCAGTGAAGCATGTTGAAAGTATTAAAAGTGTATTGACTGAAGAAGAAGTAAATATGTTTAGGGAGACCGTGTTTGGTTACATGTTAGATGTAGGAAATCTGAAATGGTTAAATGCACAGCTGATATGCATGTTAATAGGTAATCATGTTGCACCTGTGGAAGAGATGACTGTGAAGAATGAAATTCAGTTTCAAATTGGAGAAAGACTAGTTGCAATGAAGAAAAAAGACCTTACCTTGATAACTGGATTTGAGTTTGGCAGGAACATACCAGCTATGAGTACTCGTTGTGATGGGGAACTGTGGAGAAAGTACTTTAGTGGAAAAACGAGTCTGGATCGGGGAGACCTACGACAAGCATTTGAATCCATTAATAATAGAAGAGAAGACATGCAACCATTAGATGCAATGACGTTAGGATTGTTGCACGTTCTTGGTAACTACATACTAGGTAACCAGGCGTCACTCAAAGTGCCTACAACATACATCAACCTGGTAGATAACGTTGATGCATTCAAAAAGTTTTCATGGGGTGATATTGTGTGGTCTGATTTGCTTGATAAGGTTCCGAAGTGTGCAGCGATATCGGGGGAGGGAAAGAACACTAGGGTGACATTCCCTGGATATGTATTTGCCCTGCAAATATGGGGTTTTGAGACTTTTCCAGAACTCAGCAGAGCGAGGGTGTGCCTGAGAAGGCTCAAAACTTACTGGCCAAGAACATTGAACTGGTCTGTCACATCAAAGCCATCATCTGTGGTTCTTGGGGAGATAATTTTCAATAATCCAAAGGTAAAAAATTTATATGAATGCGTATTTTTTAATGGTTGTGATACATGTTCATAATGTGTAATCATGTTGGTGATTATGATGTTTAATGATGTCTGGTCATTAATTGAAATGAAAATGTGAAATTTGCAGTTTGAATGGGTAGAGATGAAACCAACACAAGAGGAGTTAGAAGTGACATGCGTTGCACTGTTGCACATGCTTTGGAGAAAATAAGCAGTGAAGAAGCTTCTTCAAAGCGAGTCAAGAAAGCAAGAAGAAAGGATACAAACAGGGGTTCTGATGGAAGGAAGGGGAAAGTAAAGAAACGAAACAAGCAAAAGAATGATGTCGATGAAGATGATGATCCATCTGGTGAAGATAGTGAAGGGAAGAAAATAGGACAAAGGGGAATCAAGAGTATTTTAAAAGAAGCGAGAGCACAAGGTGAAACAATTGAAAATTAGGGAGGACAATTACCAAACTATGTGAATTGCAAGTGAAACATGCAAGCATGATTAAAAAGTTGTTGGTGAATGCAAAAAATGGAAAGACTGTTATGAGAAGAAGATTTCCCTTGGTCAGGAAAAGAAAAGTGGGAAGATATGTGGAAGTTCCATCATTTGAACTTGCACCAGAGTTCAACGATGGCAGTGAAGACAATGAAGAAAAAGAAAGTGGAGAGCTTCATGAAGCAGAGCATGACAAGAGTAATGACAAAGCTGAAGAGAGAAAAGATAGAAATGGAACAAATGATGACGTGGCAAGATGTTTGGAGAAAAACATTGATGAAGTGCAGACAGATTGGGGGGATGGAGTTGAGGACCCAATCAATACTCAAGTATTTGTTAATGTAGTGGATGAAATAATGGCAAATGTGATGGCTAATCAAGCAGTGGATGAAGACGTGGATGAAACAAACATTGAGAAACCAGTTGCTCAGAACTGTGAAGATCTCCAGAAGAAGGATGGAGTATGTTTTAATTAAATGCAGTTAGAGTTTTCATATTTTGCTATTGCTACTATTGTAGTGTTATTATTTAATTAATTGGTATTAAAATTTAGGTAGAAAATGTTGAAGCAGAGAGATTCGATATGGAAATGACTGAGCAATCAATTGGTGAAAAATATGATGATCTCCAAAAGAAGGATGCGGTTGAGGTATATTATTTGTAATAATATGCTGATAGTATATTGTAATTAAATGCACTTAAACTTTGACATAATTATAGTATTAGTAGTATTCTGGTGTTTTGTTTTAAGTTATTCGTATTATAATTTAGATGAAAGAAGGTGCATTTGAAGAAGTTGAGAGAAGGCCAATGAGAGATGCTAAAGTACCAAACAAATTATCTTTGTCAGGGCCCAGAAACGGGAAAAGAAGGAAGAAGGATGCCAGCGAAAATGAGCTAAAAAAGGTAGTAGTGAGAGGGCCTCTGAAATTAGACCCAAAACAACAACCAAGTGATAAGTTGCTAGAAATTATAATTGATTTCATGTATGCGGGACTACTAAAAAATCATCAAAACGGTGGCGTGAAGAGGTATAATGCAAAATATGAAACAGTGAGATTGAGAAATATGACACCCTTGTGGATGATGGAAGACTGACAAGCAAGTCATGATACTATGACATATGGTTTCAGGGGAATTGGATAAAAGACACAGTAAGTATATATATTTTTTATTAATTTTTTAAACAATGTTAAGATTGAGCATTAATACTACTTATGGTGATTTGATTTACCCAGCACATTGATGTCATATTATACTACATGCGAGTCAAAGCACAAGAATACTCACTGCATTAGAAGTTCACGACAATGGATTGTTTTTTCACGGCATTGGTGAAACAACACCATGAGCTGATTGAGAGGAATGAAAGTGCCCTAGAAGAGTCTGTGCAAAGCAAAAGTATTGTTGGAGCAATACTTGAGAGAAATGTGCCTTACGGGCTACCATGGGCCGAGTGTGAGCATGTGTACATGCCGATGAATATTGGGAATCATTGGGTTCCACTTGTGCTTGATGTGGTAGAAAAGTGTATTAGGATTTATGACTCCAATAGCCGCTTTGAAACACTAAGTAGACAATTGAGTAAGTTCTTGTCCTGTTTGGAAATTCATTTAGGAAAACTAATGGATTGGTGCAAGGTGTACGAAGAGCGTGGTGAACAACCAATTGGAGATGGGAAACTGGGATGGGTTATGGTATCCAGTCCGCAACAAAATGACGGGTAAGTGGATTGAATTTCTTAAAAATAAAATGTGTATTGGTACATAATTAACATTGTAATTTTTTCAAATGCGCAGGGATAGTTGTGGGCTATTTGTACTTAAAATGGTGGAGTACCTAATGATGGGGAGAGATGTTAATGAAGTGAATTCCAGGGACATGTGGACTTATAGGAAGAAGTTTGTCACTGAGATCCTGCATTACAATGGACTGGTGAATGTCGATGGAGTTGAATGAATGTCTTTGAGAAATGTGTAATGACTGAAATTTGCTTTTACTAGGGATGCTTTATTTTGATTAAACTCAAGTATTGTTATATTACGATTTAATATGGTTTTTGTTTGGATTGAACATAACATTGCTTGTGAAGTATTGACTGTTTTACATTGAAAAGTGTGCTTAATAAGCACTGAAGTAATATGACTATCTTCTACGTTAGTCATATAACGCAATAGTGTACTGAAAAAGATTAATGCACATAATTAGGACATGTGCTTATTGTTAATCTGAAGTAAACAAAAAGATACATTCATTTCATGAAAACAACATTGTAGTAATGAAAATTAGTTTTAGTATGTTAGATATATGTATTTTTCAAAATGACTTGAATGAGGTTTTAATCTTTGACGGAATACGTAAACACGTAACATTGGGTTTATATGAATGGTAATCATTACATATGCAAACTGCAATACGTACAAATAATTGAAAACATACTTGTAATTAGAAACATATAATCAAAAGAACATGTGTGTAATTACAAACCAACTGATTTAGAATATCAAGTGAACAAAAGACTTGTAATGTTAGAACGAGCACACAAAAACATGTAAAGAGACATTACATTTATAAGAATGGTCATCAATACAGATGAATACTGCATTTATTACTGCAATCCGTAAGTAAAAACCATATTCAAACACAGAAGTTTATTAACATCTATATCACTTGTAAACTGAAATGTAAAGCATCATTTAAAAAAAACCAGCACTAGGAGCGAGTGCGCGGAATGGGATTTTGGCATGTCTTTCTATTGTGACCAACCTTGAGAAACATGTACACTTTTGTTGCCGCACATGTTCACCGGTGGATGGAATACGTCGCTTTTTGGGTCTTCCAGGAGGTCTCCTAGAACAAGAGGGAGGGCTGCAAATGACTTCTAATGTGTCATGGGGAAGAACCCAACAATCGGGACTACCAATGGGATGAATGATGCCCTCGTAACCTGAAAACCATTTATGTGTAGTATAATATTCAGGGATGTAGTCATAAGAAGAAAGTCCAGGATGAGAACAGATTGCAGCAACGACATGAACACATATGAAGCCATCAAGTTCAAATTCACGGCATGTACAAGTGCCTTCTCTTAAATTGACAACATATGATCTTCTTTTCACATCAAATATTTCAAATTCAAAGATTTATGATGTCCTGACCTATAAAAAATAAAAAAATGGAACGTGTAACATAAAGCGGAAGCTGATAATTATATAAATAAATAACAAGTAGTCAAGAATGCAGTACAATATGAGTGCATTGAAGTACCTGCATTAATGCAGCATTTGATTGTGATAGCTGTAATTGCGCCTCAAAGTAAGCAGAGAGCCGAGATTTGTTTGATGCAGCCGCTTCTCTGCGTTCACATAACCATGTTTGCATTGTTCGTACTATAAACTCAATCAATTTGCAGATGGGATACTCACGCACCTTGACAAAAATAGCATTCAAAGACTCCGCATTGTTAGACATTATGACAAAAAAGCGGTTGCGGCTAGCGTATGCACGAGACCACTTGTCGTTACCATTTTTTTGCAAGTATTTACGTATACCGGGGTCATCATGATCAAGCCTGGAAAGGTACTCTTCACATTCATAAACTGACCTCGCTCTCGCTGCTTGTAAGCATTTCCAAGACAACATCTTTGCATAACCTCGAAATTTTGATTTTATATTGCCCAATATGTGATAAACACAATATCCATGTTCAGCATATGGAAAAACAGAATGAACCGCATTTATGATTCCTTCATGACGATCAGACACCACATATAAATTATCTCTAAGCTTGAGACAATTCTTCAACATGTTGAAAAACCATGTCCAGTTAACGGTATTTTGAACACTGCAAATACCAAATACAAGTGGAAAAATATGTTTGTTAGCATCTTGCGTGCATGCCGTGAGTAGTGTTCCTTTGTAATACGATTTCAAAAACGAACCATCAACAATAATAACTGGAATGCACTTCTCCCATCCAACTCTCCATGGACCAAGAGACATAAAAAAATTCTGAAATTCTCCATTTTCATTACAAGAATATGAAACAACCGAACCTGGATTTGCTTTATCAAACATGTAGCACAAAGATGGAAGTCTATTGTACGTGTCACGCCCCGGATCTATCCGAACACGTCAACAACCCGCCGTACAATATGAATGGTCAACCACAGTCCAACACATCCATATTATACAAGGTGTCTCGAATATCATTCACACATAAGTCATCCATAAACATACATAATAAGCAATTCAATATGCAGCGGAAAACGTAGTTTAAAAACAAATGCCACACGGGGCAAACATAAGCACGCAGACTCTATAGTGAAAAGTATCCATGAGCAGATTTTATAAATGTTCAAAATAGAATGGAGGAAGCACGAACCAAGTCTTCACTCCAAGATGATCGCCCGAGCAGCGAGCGCAGGTAGCAAGCTCTAGCCTCAACCTGAAATGGTGGTGGGACGCCCCTGAAGGGGTCAGCACTCTATAGTGCTATAAAGTGCTGATGTGGATGGCATCTAATAGATATACAACAAGTATTTCAAACACAAGACTCTCAAATAGGGTGATAATATAATCTAGGCCATAACCCCAAGTTACCCCTTTTCAAAATATACTTGCTTTATATATAAAGTCAAGTAGTCAACCCATAGGCCCAAAGCTTGTTTACAAAACATAACCCAAATCTCGTGACCCCCTACTCACGACAGTACATAGGGTTCAACCCTAACACATATATTTGCATTTCTCGAGTCCAACTCGACAACATCACCATGCACCTTATCTAACACAAGTTAATTACTCCACCATGCATATCTCGAGTCCAACTTGACTACATCACCATGCACCTTATATAACACAAGTTAATTACTCCACATTGCATTTCTCGAGTCCAACTTGACTACATCACCATGCACCTTATATAACACAAGTTAATTACTCCACCGTGCATTTCTCGAGTCCAACTCGACTACATCACCATGCATGTCATCAATCACCACGTCGTGTCTACCCAATGCAATTCTATGAGCACGGGCTCAAGTACATCTCCTTACATTGGCATAGACCCATATTGCTAAGCACTCACTATGCCTAGAATTGTAATATCAATAATCTATTTCGGGGCATCCTTACGGACTGCCTCATCATGATCTTACATCATATTACATCAATTTAGGCACTTACATCACAATCAAGTACAACAATTACAATCAAATCCTTAGATTTAATTCCTTAACAATTACAACAATCCTTAACTAGTATTTCAATACTATTAAGATTATTCTTATCAATCATATATTCTATTTGTAAAACCCGACATATTTAGAGATATGTAGCAGCAACTTAATCATCCAATGTAATACATAAATAATCATTTATGTATCTACACAATTCACACATGAGTAAAATGCCTATTTCACACAATAGTTCATTTAACTCCATTTTTATCAATACGTTTCCAAATCATTTCCCATTTCATTCTTTGGCAAATATATCAATATTCCATCAATAATTTATCATCATAATCCAAGAAAAACATGATTTAGGCTTTTAGGTAATCTCATGCTTAACCTACAAGTTGTAAGCAACTAGATGTCGATCCTCACCTCAAATGAGCTTTAAACCTTTCCTTTTTAATCCAATGCTCAAAGCTTAGGCCAAGGAAGTTTAAGAAATGATTCATTGATTAGAATCGATGGTTAGACAGTCTTCTCAAGGTACTAGTTCAACACTTATCCAATCATACAAAAACAGCCCTTAGAATGGATGTTTTCCGGCGAAAACGTTTCCTAACCTTTCAAGGTTTGTTCTAGGTTAGTATCTAACCTTTACAACAAATAAATTAACTTTATAATAACATTTTATACACTTGAAATAGTGTATAATAGTTCCTCAATCATTTATATGATTTAGACAATAGAAAGGAGAGTTTTTTTATTCAAACTTACTTTGAATACCAATAACGTATTCTGTGAGGTTGCGTTTTGTTCGGACGATTTGGAGGCCTTAAACTGATCCGTTTTCTTCAAACCTCACGTCTATGGATTCTTCGTTTCTATAGATTTCAATGGGCACTTCACACGCCCTTTTTGGATGAGTAAAATTACAGATACGAGTCGAACAAGGAGACCTACGCACTGGATGACTAATCCTGCGGACAGCCCTCTCTCTTGCCTTTCTTTGGTTGTGAGGCTCTCTCCTTCCCCCTTATCTACAAGAGTCCGAATGGGGGGTTAGGTATAGGTGTCTAAGACCCCTAAAATAAGTTGGGTAGGTTGTGTGGAGTGAAATGAATTGATATGGACTCCATGAGATGTTTTTAGACATGGGTGGGGTCTCACTTTGATCTCTTTTGTCATGTGCAGCCCTCAAGTCTATTATCTCTGACCCCCTTCCCCATTCTAACATTATTATACTTATTTTGTATGTGCTAGGAAGGTGTGTGGCGCACTCTTATGTCCCCTAATTAATTTGGGAGCAAAATATCTACCAATACTTCCAAAAGTGGAAAGATGAATCCTATTGTTTTTTACTTTTGTCATAAGATGTACTTTTTGTACTCATACTCATTTATTTAGATCAAGTCAACCTTATACATCATATTATTGATCTCTAATATGTGTAGGATGGTTCCAATAATTTATATGATGTATAATTACAAAAGAGAACCCTACTCCCATTGTGTATCTTAATAATGCCAAAGATGGGACCATAGACATTCATATTTTTCTCCAATCATTCTATTACTTATTTATGACATTAATATTCATGTAGCTGGGCTATTAACCATGTGGGTCACCCTCCAGTGGGTCTAGGACGCCATTCTTGGATAATTGCTATTTTTTGCAGGTTAGGCCCAAAATAACATTTGGGCCGACCGACCGCTCTTACCTTATACCGAGGGGTTATATATCATTATTTAAGAATGTTGGGACCCAATATCAATAAGATGGCCCAATTAATTATTTGGAAATTCGTTACTATCATACGAGCCCAAACAGAAATATGATTAATCATGCGTTACGTAAAACTTTAATCGTTTTACAATTGTTCGATAATAGGGAAATTCAATACATAGCTTTGAAATTAAATTTGAATTTCAAGGACGTTCGGGTGCGGTGACACAAGTTCACCCCCCCCCCCTTAACAAGAATTTCGTCCCCGAAATTCACGATGCTACCCAAATAGGAAAGCGTATTGCCCCCTCATCAAATTCCACCGATGGCTTTTCCAATACATGTGAAGGATCATTTACATACTTCTTCAGCATAGATACGTGGAACACATTGTGTATCTTCTCTAACTCTGTAGTCAACTGTAGACGATATGCTACGGCCCCAATTCTCTCCAGAATTCTGAATGGCCCTATGTAGCGTGCATTAAGCTTCCCTCGACTTTGGAATTGAATGATTCCTTTCCAAGGAGAAACTTTCAGGAATACCTTGTCATTAACCTTAAACTCTAAGGTTCTCCGTCGCTTATCTGCATAACTCTTCTGTCTATCCTGAGCTGCTTTGAGTCTCTCTCGAATCAACCTCGTCTTTGACTTGGTGATCTCAGCCAACTCGGTACTCTCGAGTTTGGCCATGCCAACCTCGTCCCAGCATAACGGCGTACGACACCTCCTCCCATACAATGCTTTGTATGGAGGCATGCCAATACTTTCCTGATAACTGTTGTTATAGGCAAACTCCACAAGTGCTAAGTGATTGTCCCAACTCCCTTGGAAATCCAATGCACAAGCCCTCAACATATCTTCTAAGATCCGAATAACCCTTTCAGTCTGCCCATCTGTCTGTGGATGGAACGCAGTACTGAACTTCAACCTCGTTCCCATTGACTCTTGAAATTATGGCCAAAAACGTGACGTGAATCGTGGGTCTCTATCGGATATGATGGTCACCGGAACACCATGTAACCTCATGATATCGTCCGTATACAATTTGGCTAACCTCTCGAATGGGTAAGTGGTGTTGATAGGTAAAAATTGTGCACTCTTCGTGAGCCTATCAACAACAACCCAAACTGCACCATAGTTCATGATCGTCCGTGGTAAGCCTACCACGAAATCCATGGTCACATGTTCCCACTTCCATTCAGCGATGGGAAGTGGTTGCGATAAGCCCGCTGGATGCTGAAGTAATGCCTTAACTTGCTGACAAGTAAGGCACTGACTGATGTATTCTGCTATTTCCCTCTTCATGCCAGACCACCAGTAGTTTTCTTTCAAATCCCTGTACATCTTCGTGCCTCCCAGGTGCATAGCATACGCCGAGGAATGAGCCTCATCTAGAATGGACTTACGGAGCTCATCCTTCGACGGTATGCACACTCGATCACGGAATAACAAGAGACCATCGTCTCTTTAACGAAAATCCTCTACCGGCCCCGCTAGCATGCGTTCTCGGACCTTCTTGAGCTCATCATCAAGCTCCTGCCCCTTCTTGATCTCATCAAGTAAGGTAGGTCTCACCTCAAATCTCGCCACCAAGGCGCCATTAGTTGATACTTCCAATTGGGCTCTCAATGCTCTCAAGTTGGTTATCAATGCCCCCTATGAACTCTTCCGGCTAAGGGCACTGGCCACAACATTTGCTTTCCCCGGATGATAATCAATCACTAGGTGGTAGTCCTTTATTAATTCCATCCACCATCGTTGTCTCATGTTTAACTCTTTATGAGTAAACACATATTTATAACCCTTGTGGTCAGTGTATATGTGACATGTCTCTCCGTAGAGATAATGCCTCCATATCTTCAGTGCAAAACTCCCAGCTCCCAATTCTAAGTCATGAGTAGGGTAATTTACCTCGTGTTTCTTCAACTGTCGTGAAGCGTAGGCAATCACCCTCCCATTCTGTATCAATACACATCCAAGCCCTTGGATGCTCACATCGCTGTAGACATCGTACCCCATACCTTGTTTTGGTAAGGCGAGTACTGGTGCCTCAGCTAACATTTTCTTCAGTTCTAAGAATCCTTTCTCACATCGGTCATCCCATACAAACTTTGCTCCCTTTTGAGTGAGCTTCGTCAACGGTGATGCCAAAACTGAGAACTTCTCCACGAATTTTCTATAGTATCCCGCTAGTCCAAGGAGACTATGAGTCTACTTCACGTTCTTAGGTCATCCCATTCTGTGATGGCCTTAATCTTCTTGTTGTCCACAGAAATGCCTGATTCAGAAACCACGTGACCGAGAAAGCCGATCTCCTTAACCCAAAACTCACACTTACAGAACTTGACATATAGTTGCTTCTCTCGTAGTGTTTCAAGAACCAGAACCAAGTGCTTCTCGTGCTCCTCTTCATTTCTTGAGTAGATTAAGATGTCATCTATGAACACGATTACAAACTGATCCAAGTATTTATGAAAAACTCGGTTCATCAAGTCCATGAATGTCGTTGGGGCGTTAGTTAACCCAAACGACATCACCAAGAACTCAAAGTGACCATACCTTATGCGGAAAACACTCTTCGGTATGTCATCCTCTTTTATCTTCAATTGATGGTACTCCGACCTCAAGTCAATCCCCCCAAAACACCATTGCTCCTCGGAGCTAATCAAACAAGTCATGTATCCTAGGTAAAGGATACCTATTCTTGATCGTGACCTTGTTCAGTTGACGATAATCAATACATATTCGAAGCGTGATAGACCCAGAATACTAACAATCAAACAATCTATAACAGTTAAGAAGAAGCAGATAGAAAGATATTGACAAGATTGAAACGCGAATCTGGTATACCGTATGAAAACCGGCCGCTGCTCTCCCTGGAGAAGGAGAGCAGCGGCAACCCTAATCTTTCTATCTCTACGCCTCTGCGTCTGTAAGCCTCTTTCGATTGATAGGGTTCCCGTAAGTTAGCCTCCTTTTATAGGAGAAGTTAGCTAACTTACGGGTTACAAGGAATCCCACGGGCTGATACACATTTGTGGCCCGTATTACACGTTTAATTAATAACTACACAAATACAAAGATAGCTAACTAGATTGAACACCATAAAATATTCCCAACAAAGCGTCCCATCTTTCTTTTTCACAAAAAGAACTGGTGCTCCCCACGGTGAATAGCTCAGTCTAATGAAACCGTTATCCAATAGGTCTTGCAATTGGGTTTTCAGCTCATTCAGCTCAGCAAGTGCCATTCGGTACGGTGGTATAGAGATTGGTTTGGTGATGGGCTCAACCTCGATCACAAATTCAATCTCTCTATCGGGTGGAAGCCCCGATAGGTCTTTAGGGAAGACATACGGGTACTTACAAACCACCCTTACATCGTCGAGGTTCGGTTCCTCCTTAGTTTTGTCCACCACGTATGCTAGATATGTGTGGCATCCCTTTCTCATCATACTCCTCGCTCTCACGGCAGATATGATGCAACTATTTGATTTTCCTCGATCACCCTAGAAGTGTAGGGCATTCCCATCATTGCCTTCGAGTTCTAGAATCTTCGTGTAGCAATCTACCCTAGCATGATGCTTTTCTAGCTAATCCATCCCTAGGATCGCATCAAAATCAACCATGCGCAACGGTACGAAGTCACATGTCAAGGTTTGGCCATCGACTTCCACCTCACAAGATGGATAACAAGTTCTCTCAACGTCATCTCTTATTGGTGTTGATACCACTAGAGTTTGTGTCATCGGTATCGGGTGTATATCTAAGTCCTCGGCGAACGTCTCACTCATGAATGAACGTTGCGCCCCGGTATTGATAAAGGTTCGTGCACTTCTCCCATTAATCCTTAGAGTTCCTTCATTTATGAGCCATGTAAGATACCTTCCCACCATCTATATACATTTATAGAGGTTTACTATGTTCATACATATGTTTGGGGTCAAGGAGAGGTCTTAACGTCGCAAATCGGTGCGAAAAAATCAACGTCGGGCAGTCTGGGTGCCACGCACGCGTGCATGGGGGGACGCACGCGTGTGTGCAGGAAATCTTTTCTCTGGATGTCTACTGCCACCCACGCACGGAGGGACGCACGAGGGTACGCACGGAGTGACGCATGCGTGCGTCCTGGTACGCACGGCCGTGCCTGGGGAAATTTCCTCTTCGAAAGCCCACTGCCTCCCATGCACGGAGGAACACACACGTGCATCCGGCTGTGCGTGGGAAAAACATTGCCCATTCCATGTGAAACCTCCCGGTTCGCCCCCGGGATGGCCCGTACTCAACCCCCACAGCTTCCCTTACCCAAATAAGCTTAAAAACTTACAAAATTGATGTATTACTTGCGACAAAATCCGGATGGGCTTGAGCGTCCACCTCCATCATTGCATAGACTCTCGCTTGTGTCCTTCCTTGATTCACGGACGGTGTGTTGCTCGCGCTTGCTCCCCCTTGTCCCCTGGACGCTTGGGGAGCTCCGGTTTGGCTCCTTGTCCCCTGTGGGCCCACTACTTGGCCCCGATGTTTGGTTTTGTATAAGTTGTGGGCAACTCACTCTTGTGTGCCCAATCTCTCAGCATTGATAGCACCTAGGAGGGTCCCAACACTTACCCGGGTGGTGCTTCTTGCAATTGCTGCACTTAGTTACCCTCGAACATTTTGCCCTCCTAGAATGTCCTTGGGAGTCGTCTCCCCATTTCCTTTTTCCTAGTAATGGTACTTCCTTAGCTTGCTTAGCTTGGCGTTTTTGTATAAGCCTCATACGTTCATGATGAAGCCAATCTATGACCATGCCCATTTGTTCTATGGGTGCCCTATCAACGTCATCATCAATATGACCACCTACTCCCTCAATCGAAGCATCAAGTGGTTTTGTGTCACCCTGACGAGGTGACTCCTTCTTGGTCTCAACACGACCATCATTCACGATTTGAGCTTCTAGGATTTCGTGAACCTTTGGTACTAAAGACTCTTCTCAGTTGGCATGCTCGGTTCCACCCGGTACAACCCCTCCTGAGTTCTCCCTTTCCTTAATTCCATCGTCGCACCCCATTGCTGAAAGATATATTTAGGATGAGTCATTAGACTCGTTTCAAATGTCAACTGACAAATAGGCACTTAAGGCATCTCTTGAGCCAAGTCATCGACATACCAATCGTTAAGGGCGCCATCTTAACAATTAGAGGCCTTGCAACTCAAACACCAAAAGTTCTTAAGTACAAAACATTTCCTATGCTCATGGTTTTCAAAAATCATTTTGAAAAAAAGAATTTGGAGACTTCATTATGAAGTTTATGGACTAAGGCTCTTATACCAATTAAATTGTCACGCCCTGGACCTATCCAGACACGTCAACAACCCACCGTACAATACGAATGGTCAACCGCAGTCCAACACATCCATATTATACAAGGTGTCTTGAATATCATTCACACACAAGTCATCCATAAACATACATAATAAGCAATTCAATATGCAGCGGAAAACGTAGTTTAAAAACAAATGCCACACGGGACAAACATAAGCACGCAGACTCTATAGTGAAAAGTATCCATGAGTAGATTTTATAAATGTTCAAAACAGAATGGAGGAAGCACGAACCAAGTCTTCACTCCAAGATGATCGCCCGAGCAACGAGCGCAGGTAGCAAGCTCTAGCCTCAACCTGAAATGATGATGGGACGCCCCCGAAGGGGTCAACACTCTATAGGGTTATAAAGTGTTGGTGTGGATGACATCTAATAGATATACAACAAATATTTCAAACACAAGACCCTCAAATAGGGTGATATTATAATCTAGGCCGTAACCCCAAGTTACCCCTTTTCAAAATATACTTACTTTATATATAAAGTCAAGTAGTCGTCCCGTAGGCCCAAAGTTTGTTTACAAAACATAACCCAAACCCCGTGACCCCCTAGTCACGACAGTACATAGGGTTCAACCCTAACACATATGTTTTCATTTCTCGAGTCCAACTCGACTACATCACCATGCACCTTATCTAACAAAAGTTAATTACTCCACCGTGCATTTCTCGAGTCCAACTCGACTACATCACCATGCACCTTATATAACACAAGTTAATTACTCCACCGTGCATTTCTCGAGTCCAACTCGACTACATCACCATGCATGTCATCAATCACCACGTCATATCTACCCAATGCAATTCTATGAGCACGGGCTCAAGTACATCTCCTTACATTTGCATATACCCGAATTCCTAAGCACTCGCCATGCCTAGAATTGTAATATCAATAATCTATTTCGGGGCATCCTTACGGACTGCCTCATCATGATCGTACATCATATTATATCAATTTAGTCACTTGCATCACAATCAAGTACAACAATTACAATCAAATCCTTAGATTTAATTCCTTAACAATTACAACAATCCTTAACTAGTATTTCAATACTATTAAGATTATTCTTATCTTTCATATATTCTATTTGTAAACCCCTACATATTTAGAGATATGTAGCAGCAACTTAATCATCCAATGTAACACCTAAATAATCATTTATGTATCTACAGAATTCACACATGAGTAAACTGTCTATTTCACACAATAGTTCATTTAACTCCATTTTTATCAATACGTTTCCAAATCATTTCTCATTTCATTCTTTGGAAAATATATCAATATTTCATCAATAATTTATCATCATAATCCATGAAAAACATGATTTAGGCATTTAGGTAATCTCATGCTTAACCTACAAGTTGTAAGCAACTAGATGTCGATCCTCAACTCAAATGAGCTTTAAACCTTTCCTTTTTAATCCGATGCTCAAAGCTTCGGCCAAGGAAGTTTGAGAACTGATTCCTTGCTTAGAATTGATGGTTAGACAGCCTTATCAAGGTTCTAGTTCAACACTTATCCAATGATACAAAAACAGCCCCTAGAATGGGTGTTTTCCGGCGAAAACGTTTCCTAACGTTTCAAGGTTTGTTCTAGACTAGTATCTAACCTTTACAACAAACAAATTAACTTTATAATAACATTTTTTACACTTGAAATAGTGTATAATAGTTACTCAATCATTTATATGATTTAGACAATAGAAAGGAGAGTTTTTGATTCAAACTTACTTTGAATATCAAAAACGTATTCTGCGAGGTTGCGTTATATTCGGACGATTTGGAGGCCTTAAACTGCTCCATTTTCTTCAAACCGAACGTCTATGGATTCCTCAGATTTCAATGGGAACTTCACACGCCATTTTTGAATGAGTAAAACTCCAGATACGAGTCGAACAAAGAGACCTACACACTGGATGACTAATCCTGCGGACAGCCCTCTCTCTCGCCTTTCTTTGGTTGTGAGGCTCTCTCCTTCCCCCTTATCTACAAGTCCGAATGAGGGGTTATGGAGAGGTGTATAAGACCCCTCAAATAAGTTGGGTAGGTTGTGTGGAGTGAAATGAATTTGTATGGACTCCATTAGATGTTTTAGACATGGGTGGGGTCTCACTTTGATCTCTTTTGTCATGTGGAGCTCTCAAGTCTATTATCTCCGACCCCCTCCCCCATTCTAACATTATCGTACTTATTTTTCAGGTGCTAGGAAGGTGTGGGGCGCACTCTAATGTCCCCTAATTAATTTGGGAGCAAAATATCTACCAATACTCCCAAAAGTGGAAAGATGAGTCCTATTGTTTTTGTCTTTTGTCATAAGATAGTACTTTTTGTACTCATCCTCATTTATTTAGATCAAGTCAACCTTCTACATCATATTATTGATCTCTAATATGTGTAGGTTGGTCCCAATAATTTATATGATGTATAATTACAAAAGAGAACCCTACTCCTATTATTTAGTTTAATAATGCCAAAGATGGGACCATATGCATTCATATTCTTCTCCAATCATTCTATCACTTATTTATGACATTAATATTCATGCAGCTGGGCTACTAACCGTGTGGGTCACCCTTCAGTGGGTCTAGGACGCCATTCTTGGATAATTTCTATTTTTAGCAGGTTAGGCCCAAAATAACATTTGGGCCGACCGGCCGCTCTTACCTTGTACCGAGGGGTTATATATCATTATTTAAGAATGTTGGGACCAATATCAATAAGATGGCCCAATTAATTATTTGGATTTTCGTTACTATCATACAAGCCCAAACAGAAATATGATTAATCATACGTTACGTAAAACTTTAATCGTTTTACAATTGTTCGATAATAGGGAAATTCAATACATAGCTTTGAAATTAAATTTGAATTTCAAGGACGTTCGGGTGCGGTGTCACAGTATGACTCCTTTTCAGATCCCCGAGACAATTGCAATGCAATTTCCCTTGCAAACCAAGCCTTTTTATATGACATCACAATTCCATGGAATCTTCGCATATCTGTAATGATTGACTGAGGTGTGTAAGCTCTTTTAGACAAGTCATCATATTCATGCTTGATGAGTTCAGCAATAAGAGAGGAAGACGCCTGACGACTATTAGCTTGTCTAATATCAATGGAACAAGTATGATCGTTATCAAATCTGAAAAGGAACAAGCACCGATGACATTAACAACATGTAATGATGCAGTCATTCAGGTGCATAGATAATGACACCGAACTTCAGAAAAATATGAAAATGCACAAGGGTATACAAGTAAAAAGACAACATATAAGGTCTAAAATTGTCATTAACCGCAACTTATAAGTACAATAGCACTGCATTAAATAATGTAAAGATTATGAAAACAACAAGCATTGTAATTCATACCATTAGCAAAGATACAAAAACAACTAATCCACGCACTTGAAACAAGCCACTTTCATCCAAACGCACTCCCCGAACAGCCAATGACAATCAGGATCCAAACAAATGACATGTAACACCTTAGGAGCCGATGACTTTGTTCAGTATTGGAAAAAATTAGTAATTGCATACACCTTCAAATTAAAACTAAACTCCTTCTTGTTTTTATATATTGCGTCCAGATCAAGATGGGTGGGGTCAAAGTGGGGGACAAAAGATATGAAAGGAACCTCAAATGAAGATGTTAAATCATCATTGTTAACATCTTCATCAAAAGACAAAGGGCCTAAATCAGAGTACTCAATGCTGGATGAGGGACAAAAAACATCACTAGAGTGCATTGTTTGTTCATCTGCTGATGCCAATAATTCAGAATCCTCCAAGACATCCAAAACTTCATCATCTAAAATGGAGTAATTAACCGTGTTTGGCACACTTTCAGTACATCCTTTGAAATCAAATTAAAAGTAATTACAAATAAGCCAAAATTCAATTGGTCTCAATTCAATTACATAAATTCGATCAAAAGATAAAAGCAGGGGAGAAATATGTGACAAACCTTGAAACGGTTGAACAAACTCTACACACAGAGGAAGCTTATTGAAGTCCGATTGAATGCTTTTAATTTGCAAATAAAACATCAAGCTAGAATCGTCATTGATGATAACCGGTGGAGGACATGCTTGAAATACATATGAAATACGTATGTCACGTTCACAATCACTTACGCCCAATGAAGCGTATATAATGCCAAAAAAATCAATCCACTTGCACGAGAAAGGAATATCAATGGCGATGACGCATGAGCTCTGAAAGTGAATGTTAGACAACATTGACCATCTACGTGCATCAAGACGTGTATGCTTGGAGATTGATTTGGAGAACAGCTGATTTCCATAACTACCGAAACAGGAGGAACGAATAGAAGAAGAAAATGGTTATTTGGAATTCATCGAAAAAAACCAAAAAGAACAAAGGTTGAAGATGAAGATTGAAGAACAGAAGGAATCGGCGATGGAAAACGGTTACCTAATTTAATGGATTGCGAAATAAATGCTTAAACAGTTTTGGAATAAATGTACGCTAATTGACTGAAGGGTAGGGAAGGAATAAAAAAATTAGGGGTATGCCATTGGTAATTATACTACCGTAAAAAATCTCTAGATTATTGTGCATCCCCTCCTCATACGCCCGTATAGTTCGGGTTTGAGCGGGGCTGTATCACAGTTCAGGTCAAACCCAAGGTCAACAGGAAAGAAAAGTAAAGGAAAACACAACACAACAGTAGCCATTCCGTTTGATACTGAAATAGAGAGAGAGAGAGCAGTGGAATGGAGTCAGCAGAGGATAGACCCGGGAATTTAATGGAACAACAACCACCACCGGCGTCTAGCGACCTGTCGCCGCAACCGGAACAGCAGCATCAACAACCGCCGCCATCTTCGTCACTATCATCGTCTGCTCCACCACCTTCTTCCGCTTATTCCTCCGGGGCAGCACCTCTTCTTTCGCCAGCAGGCCCAGGACATTCACTCCCTCTTTCTTCAGCGCCAGAATCTTCGGAGAACTCAACCCTAATAAGTCCCTCATCTTCTGCTTCCGTAGCCCCAACTTTGCAGAATACTCAACCTAGACCAGCTTCAGAGCCGCCATCCTCCTTCACTACTAACCGGCAACAACCCCCGTCTTTCCAGCACACGACTTACCAATCTTCTTCTTCTTCTTCTTCTTCCTCACTAACCGTGCCGCAGTCTGGCAGGGGTGGATTGGTGATTGGGGTCCCTGCCCACCAGCCAGGCACTTCTCCGCCGCTGACCTCATTTTCATCTGTGGCCCACCCTTCTTTTGGGCAGCAATTCGGCGTGTTGGGTCGTGGAGTGCCCGATTCTATGCCTACTTCGAGCTTGGTCCAGGTGCTGATTGTTTTGTTCAATTAAAGACAATTCTTCATACAATGCATAGTGTTAGCTGTCAATCTGTGCATATTGTTTGTTTCTTGTTATTGTTTTTTCTGAGTGTACCTATTGTTATTGTGAGAAAGAGGGTATGCCTGCCTATGTTGATGCAGTACAGTTTTTCTGGGCTTGCAATCTACAGGAGAGACAGACGGTACAAGGGATGCAAGGGATAGGAATTACTGGGTCGCTTGGTTCTAGTATGCCAATGCGTCCAGCTGGGATTCCTCCTCAGCCAGTGAGATCTATTACAACATCACTCAGACAGCATACTGTCATGAATAGCCAGTCCCCATCTTCCCAAGTAAGCTCTATATTTTTTTACGTTTTCCTCCCTTTGTATTTATCTTTTTGTTTTGGTTGTTTACTAGTTCAACTTCACATTAGGTGAGTGAGATGTCTGCCTTACTTAAAATTAGTTGTTTGTATATCCATCAGTTACATTGTTGCTCTATTCCGAGGTGCCCAAAAATAAATTGTATTCTTGCAGATTTAGAAATGACTGTTGCGAGTCTTGTGACCTGTCCAATCTTAATTTTGATGAAAAGTTTGCAATAAGGTGGTGTGTCTTGTGATGACACCGGTGCGATATACTCCGTATTTCATAAGCGAGTACTCACTGAGTAGGCTTCATAGTTGGAATAGTTCAAAAAAAGGAGTTACTCGGGTGATTTCTGTTACATAAGTGACTAGTTTTACTTGACGAGTAACATGGTTGAGGTCAAGTTTGATAGACTGCAGAATAAAAAATTGAAGAAACCAATTAAATTTGGTGACCTTTGGTCGATTTTTCTTGGCATCTTCCAATTAGTTACCAAATAATATCTAACTTAGCAGACATATATTTAAGAATGGTTTGGTATGACTTCTCAAGAAGAGCTTATGATAGTTGTCTGTAAGCCATTTCCCAAAGAGTTTTCAATAGTAAGTTATATTTCTTTGACACTATGTATTAGGTTCCCATCAATTGTGATTAAGACTTGGCTGTTGATATAGTTGTGGAATGGCAGGACTCTATGAAACAGCCATGATCCAGTAAAAGGAACTGAGGATACTATAGTATTGTTAGTTATTTGAATGCAATAAAGACAATTTCACAAACTTATTAGGGAAAATTAATTCAAATACCCAAACTATGGGATGTGTGGACTGTGAACTCAGCACCCCAAAATTTGACATGTGAAATAAATAACTTGAACTTTATATTATAAGTGGTCTAATGATCATGGACTTGGATTTTTTTCATTCACGGAAGTGTAAGCTTAGGGGCGTATCTTCACAATCAAGTACTTGGAACATTATGGGGTGTCACTTAGCATCCTAAACTTACATGTGTGAGATAAGTAATCTACATCCATGGTGTTAAAATCACATATAATATAAAGTTGAGGATGTTTATTTCACAGTTCACACATAAAGTTTGGGGTACTGGTTCACGCATCCCGGCAGTTTGAGGTCGTCGTCATCATCATCATCATTACCCCAGTGCCGCAAAGGCTCCCACCTACGGTGGGGTAGGGGGGGGGGGTCGGATCACTCGGATGTATGCAGCCTTACCCTCTTTACTAAAGCACAAAGAGACTGTTTCCGGATGACCCATGGTGAAAATTGCGTAAAAAATTGTATGAACGGACTAATATTTCATAACGAAGAAGCGCAGACCGTTTAATGAGCCATTTTGCTTTATTCCATCATATTCCCAAGCCAAAAAATAGTGAATCTTTGGCTCCATTGAGGTATTAAAATTAATTTTCCCTGCTTATTGTAACCATTTTTCTTATATGCAGAGTTTTCAAGGACAGGGAATGTTGAGATCTCCAAACCCCTCTAGTACACCTCAAAGTCCACAGACCCAGAATCAAGCATGGTCATCTTCAGGAGTACAGGGTAAGCCTCCTCTGCCACACCCTTCACTGAGGCCTCAACTGAGCTCACAGTTTTTACAGCAACGATCTCATATTCGTCCAAGTCAGCAGCAGCACTTCTCATCTTCTGCCCAGCAAGCATCGGCTTTGAACACTAGTCAGTCTCAAGAGAATATGGGCCAGGGTCAATCTTTAAGGATTCAACAACCCATTTCTAATCCACAACCAAATGCTCCAAGGAGTCATGGATTTGGAGTCCAAAGACCTTCATCAAATGCAGTGCTGCACTCTGCTCCTGTCCAATCTGGACCTCTGAATAACATTGCCACTACAGAGACTGAGGAGCCCTGTGATAGGATTCTGAGCAAGAGAAGCATCCGAGAGCTGGTGACCCAGGTGATCTACACACAGTTTGCTTCTTCTGCCTTCATTTTTCAATATTTCTCTTATTTAAGAGTTGTGTCTTTCCTGGTGAAGGCTAGATACCGACCCATTATTCTCATTGTTTAAACTTTAAATTGAGATTACTATTGTTACAGTTACAGGTGCTCTTAAACAGAGATTACTATTGTTGAATAAATGTTTAGGAATCTTATAAGTATTGTAAGCTTACATGAATAATGCTCTAGCAGTTCAAGATTGCTATAATTGGGAAATATATTAAAATAATGCTTTTCCTTAGTCATGGTTTACTCTAAGTCTCCTTTTGCGTCTGTCGTACTAGCAAAGTAGTCAAGATCATGATCCTACCTAGGATCAAGCAGGAAAATATAGACCATAAGTTGTGAGATTATAATATGAACATAAATAAAACATAAAGACAGCAGTATAATGGTATGTTTTGTGCAACATAAAGACAGAATGGAAGGGAAAAACAGAGCATCACTCTCTAGTTGTTATAATTCAAGATTTTAGATAAGGATTGAGGAGGCAAGGAGCAAATGAATTGCAGAAGAAGAAAGGTGCATCAGACCACAGGCCAACAAAGAATGGAGAACCAGATGAGAATCCATTTCCCATGAAATGAGTGGAAGAATTGTAGATGATAAACTTCGTACTTTACTTGTATTTTAAAACAGAACCAGAGCTGGAGCACAGGAGTTTGTTCTTCTTTTTGTCATCAATTTTGAATGTACGGCGCGTCAGACTAGTAGTTGCACTGTTGCACTTGCACACTATAAGGTGAAAAGCTAAAGCGCAGGTGATTTTAAGTCGCAGTCCCCCCCGCCTCTTTTACTGGATCTGGAGCGTTTGTAACCCTACCATTTGTACGAGTTGACTCAGCAGTCACACTGATCCAGTGATCTTACAAAGTAAGCAAGTTTGCACATGCATGATCTGGATCGCCCAAGGCATGCGGACGGTAAACTAGTACAATCCTACGAGTTGGATCGTGAGTTTGACTATCTTGCTTATTGGAGGGTGCAGGCTCTTCGGCACAATTTCTAAGTCATACATTTTATATAACTTATTGGCTTGGGAATATGATGGAATAAAGCAAAATGGCTCACTAATTTGTCCACGCTTCTTTGTTATGAAGCAGTAGTCAGTTCATGGAACTTTTGACATGATTTCACTATGGGTCAATCCATAGTTTGACTATCTTGCTTACCGAAGGTGGGAGCCTTTGCGGCATTGGGGTAATAATGATGATATTTTATACTACCTCCGTCCCAAAAAACTTTTCCATTTTACAAAAATTGAAGCTTAATTTTGATTAGTATGATATTATGGAAATTAAAAAATTTATACTTTTATGAAAGTACTTTTAACAAAGAACATTATCATATATTTTTTATATTATAAATAATTTCCGATAAAAAGGTATAGTTGGGCAAAGTTTTGAAAATGACAAAGTTTTTTGGGAGGGAGGTAGTATAACTCATTTCTTAAATTTAAATACTTTGTACTATGGATGCTTTAATTAGTCTTATATTTAAAGAGTTTATTGGAGTCTTCACGGAGAAGGCTATAAACCTGTTTATTGTAAGCACAATGTTTTTTTAAATATTTTACAGTATCCTAGTATCCTTGGTAGCATGTTAGCCGACCCCAAAATCTTTTGGGATTAAGGCTTGGATGTTGTTGACTTGTTGTTGCTGTTGTAGTATTAGTAGTAATAGTAGTATCCTAGTATCCTTGGTATATGGCTATTCACAATTTTGGTAAGTTTGAGTGTGAGTAACATTGTGTAATAATTAACTAATTGAGAGAAAATCACTCTATGTGACGCTCTTCCGTGAAAGGGAGGATATGATAGTCGTGCCTGTATAGTTCGGATGATGAGGAGCTTTTTGAGAATAAACTCGTTTCTAGTAGAAATGTGTATCCGAAAATCCACACCACCAATTATTATTGCCATTAAGGGTTCCATAAGTAATTTGCTCAATTTACCATACTCATGTTAACTTTCAGTAGTCTCTCCCTGCTTTAGTACAGGGGTAAGACTGCGTACATCCGACCTCCCCTTACCCCACCGTAGGTGGGAGCCTTTGCGGCACTGGAGTAAATGAAAATGAAAATGAAAATGTTAACTTTCAGTGATTTTGATAATAAAATGATGCATCCATAAGTAATACTCCGTAATTTTTTTGTTTTCTCTTGACTTCATCCCTTTGGAAATTTACTTTTTCCTAAACTTTTTATGGTTTTCATTCATTAAATGTGGTCCATACATTTGACTGACACTGTCATTGATAGATTGACCCATCAGAAAAGTTAGATCCTGAAGTTGAAGACATCCTTGTGGATATTGCAGAAGAATTTGTGGAATCCGTAAGTTTTATGTGCAATGGCAGATTATTTGAATCTCAGACGAAGTTTGTGTTTATTTTACGTGATTGTATAAATTTGGGTCTTTACTGTATTGACTAGAATAGTGATGTAACCTGTCATGTGCATGCCAATTGGGCATTTCAGTAAAAGTGTTTGTAAATTCAGAGCATTTTATGTCCGTATGATGTGTCATACTCTTCAATGTAGAGAATATTCTGCTTTTCCTTTGATGCTTTATATTTTGTTAGTAAGTTATATGTTGGTCTTAAATTATGATTATATACGAAGAAGATATAAACGGATAAACCTTGTTGAATGATAGCTGACTATATTTCAACTTCGTCAACTTGCACATTAACAGTTCTATCTTAAACCAAGATTCAATTGATAGTTCAAGTATGATAAGCATTGCATTATATTTAAATCTCGACGCCTATTCTTGTTTCTTCTGCTTTCCTCACTTGCTGATTGATATGGTGTGCTTTCACTTTTATCTTTCCCCACACATTTTCTCAAACAGCTTACAACATTTGGTTGCTCATTGGCAAAACACCGCAAGTCCTCTACACTGGAAGCGAAGGACATCCTTCTACATGCTGGTGAGTTTCATTGTATCACATTAGAAGTTGTATCATTGGTTACATGTGCATTGGCCAATGCGTAATGCTTCTTCATTCATGTTTTTATTCAGAAAGGAACTGGAACATTTCCCTTCCTGGATTTTGTGGGGATGAGATTAGAACATACAAGAAACCTGTAAGAATGTTTTTGACTTACTTTAATGCCCTTAATTAATTCTTGCCTCGTATTCTCAAAACTGTTTTGACTTTTTTCTTTACCTCATGGTGTCTTTTGGTTTGCAGCTAACAACTGACATTCATAGAGAACGTCTGGCTGCAGTAAGTATTAGTCCCTCTTCTCATCCTCTTCATTTGAAATGATATAGACATAACAAAAGTATGAGAAACCCATGTGAATAATTATCCTTGAAATACTATTTCTTCTTTCTATATTTGTTGTTTTTCAAGGGATACTTTGATAAATGTTAATCCGAAACATCTTTATTCATGAACAATATTTATCTGTTTGTTGTCCCTGCTTGCAGATCAAGAGGTCAGCTACAAAGATAAACAATCCAAAGAGCTCATCTGGACAAGGCGGAAATTCAAAGACTCAATTTGGAAAAGGTCCTAGCAATATTTTGACTTCCCCTAATGCAAAGACCTGAAACCGCACGAAGCACTGCTCTCTAATCCTAGTAGCTGTGCTATCTCTCTTACCGCGTAAGGTCTGGGACTCTGGGCTTGCTTAAAAAGCTTTTATTTTTGCTTTCGTGCCTCAAGTTTATTTTTTCGCATTTTACATTCACTTTCGTGCCGCATAGGAGTTGCGTTTTGAAATTCCCATAATAGCATACATGAAGTAGAACTGTTTGTCACCCAAATGTCGTTTGTTTCTCTCTGATAGTAGGCATGTATGTGATTCTTTTTTAATCACATGAAGTTCTCCGCCTCATGTAGTGCAGGTTGATGTGAAAGGTCGCTACTAGTTTTGTGACCAAACTGGATTTTACATCGTCCCTTGAGTGTTACAAAGAGGAAAAGTTCAGAACAAAGAAATTGGTGATCCATGGGGGAGATGGTCTAATGAAATATCGTAACTTGAAATGCGCAAACCTCAAATGAAGCCATCAAAAGGCCCAGCCCCTTCTTTGCCATGGTCCCATGATTAGCGAGGATGACAATATTACTCTTGCTTCCATGGTTAATTGGAGTTAGAAAGGATAGTTAATCTTGTAGAGTGTTTGATTTATCATGTACATAACTGTAACATGCTAACAATTGACATCTGATCGGCGTACTGTTATATTCATATCATTTTGTGTGAGCATTTTCCTATAAGCGTCTAATGATTGTATTTATTATTCTTTCCATCGTACAAAACTTGGTCATATCGGCTTTTCTTCGTCAATGAAGTTTGACCAATGATATTTATGAGTATGATATAGAGTATTTATTACATGGAAATATTCTTTGTTAAAATTACTTTCTTAAAAATATAGAATTTATAAATTTCATACAAATATTATAACTAAAATCATTAACCAATAAAAGTCAGTTTGAACAAGTTTTGTGTATTCTTCCTCGAATCCTCGTGGGTTTTGGGGTAATGGCTGCCCTGCCATTTTGAGTTTTTCCTCTTACACTCTCGGCCCTGTCTCTGGGGTCTGGACTGGTTTGTTGTTCGTCTTATGATTGAGGAGGTGTAAGCCGGGGGTGGACCAGGTTCAACAACTATTTTCCTGTAGAGAAATACAGTTTTGGGCCGAACAGTTTAAAATAGGTCAGGTAATCAATCTGGTCCACCCTCTGGCAGGTGGATGGCATAGTGGAGGCATTCCAATGGTCTCCAACTTTTGTCGGGCCTGACTGATCTTCATATCAAGTGAATGGGCTGTAGTGCCACAACTCTGTACTGCATATGGACTGGTCCACCAAGCCCCGTGCTTCATAGCCCAAGCCCATGCACAACAGCAACTTTATTTATGAATAGTATGATGAGGGAGTATTGGTTCATTAAAAGAACAATGATGGCGTATAGGAGGGAGCATGTGTTATTGAATGGGGAAGTGGTCACATTTGGGCGATTCAAATCTGAAAACGCAATGTTAAGAATGATAATAGTGATGGGCGCCCGTCGATCCGAACCATCATTGTGAATCTTATTAGGACGGGCAAGCCCCTATCATCATTAATTCATTAAACCGAAACACTCATGCCTCTCCAAGATCAATACCTCTCTACTTATTATCACTACTTTAATCATTGTGATGTGTGTTCATAATTAATACACCAAAAACAAACATAAATAAATATTATTAAAGAAATTACATGAAATTTGCACACACTTGCCATACATTTGTACATAACTATGTGTGGACACTGACAATGTATACACATGTAGCCCGTGCAAAAATTGTCTTTGTGCACACACAATTATGCACAAATGCGTGCTAAGTGAGTATAGATTTTGTGTACATCAAGATTTGTTGTAGATATTATAGAGCTCATTTAGTTACTCTATTGTCAGTTTATTAGTTTTATCAATCAACTATTTTATTTAAAACATAAGTTTTGATTTCACACGCTGAACGGTGTAGTAATAAAAATTACTTTTGTAGTTGAATTCGATGAAGTTACTATAGATGTTATCTTAGCTATTTTCATTTAATTTTTGCTTTTTCCGTCAATAAGATATATCTTAAATATAATGTTCCATAATTCAAGAAGTTAAATTTATTTAGCTATTTCACTCATAATATAATCAGACCAGACCAGTTCAGACCAGACCAGACTTGGATAGTTATAAAAATACAAAGAAACCAGACCAGACCAGACCAGACCAGCAAATTACAGTCCAAGTAAAAACATCCTAAGACTGCTATGGTCTTTCCCTAAATAAGAGTAATATATATTGTCAAAGTTATAAAATATTGCCACTTTTGATAATAAATTGCAATGTTTAAAATCCGATAATGCTAAATGTATTAGTTAATTAATTTTTAAAGTGACAACAATATGCCCTTATTTATGAAGAACAATATAGTGTTCATATATTGATATTTTCTCATTTCGAGAATTTTTACTTAAATCTAATATGCTAAGTCTGATTGAATTGGTTATCAAACAATACATATCAATTGCGGTCGTCTCCCTCACGTAAAGTTTGAGAGCTTCGTGCGTCTATTGTGCGCATCGGCGGAGCTAGGAGTGGGCCAACTTAGGCCATGGCTCATCCCAAAATTTAAAAATGACTTAATTTTTAAGGTAAAAAAATTCGTGTAATTTTTTTCCTAAAAATATTCTTTGTACCGGCTCAATCCGGCCCAGTGTCCTGGCTCCGCCCCTGATTGTGCACCGTCGATATTGGAGAACGAGTGTTAGGCGTCCAGATCGTGGAGAACGAGTGTCACCGCGGCGCTGCTTTGGATTCACGCGAGTGTTGCGGCGGCAGATCGGCTTTCGAAGAAGACTTCTTTCTCGGCAGTTTTGGAAGAGCTTTTAAGTGATATGGCGGAGAAAGAAGAGATGGTGAACAAATGCGATAACATGGCGCTCGGAGGAGACGAGGAAGAGTTGGTCTTAGATGAGGAGATTGATGGTCAGGATGTGTCATCGAATCGTAATGTAACTTTTCCGATTGTCGGCACTGTTCTCACAGACAGAATGGTGAATTTTGATGTATTCAGAGATCTCATGGCTTCTATCTGGCGTCCGAGAAAATGGATATCTATTAAAGAGATTGACGAAAAGAGGTATTTGTTTACTTTTTACCATATTGTTGATATGGTACGAGTTCTAGGTGGCAGCCCGTGGCTGTATGAACAAAATTTGCTGGTGGTGAGGGCACTAAAATCGGGGGATATTCATCTTCGGGTTCCCCTGAACGAGGCTAAGTTTTGGGTACAAGTACATAATGTGCCCTATGACTATATGGATTTAGGGATGACTAGGAGAACGGGTAATTTTATTGGTAAATTTATCAGTTTTGATGAGAGTCTATTCGAGGAATGCTGGAATTCTTAAATGAGGATCAAGGTCTGCATAGATGTTGGAAAAATCTGAAAGTGGGCACGACGTTGAGGAAAGGGCGGGGTGCAGGCCATAGGGTGGAATTTAAGTATGAAAAACTGCCTAGTTTTTTCTTTGCTTGTGGTATTATTGGTCATGCTGACAGGTTTTGTCCATTGGCTTATGATTGTGAGAATAAGATACTGACTGAACCCTTTGGGGTTAATCTCCGTGCTGGAGGGGGGGGGGGAGCTCGACCGACGAGGGTTAACAAATGACTAGTTACAGAAGACTCTTCAAGTGGAAGCAGCTCGATTCAGCAGGGTAAGCAACAGAACAATGCAAGCACTAGAGATGGGGTAGCTAGGCCAGAGGGGCAGTGTGGAACAGTTTCCGTGGTGGATGCTAGCACGATGGGAGGGATGGAGATTGAAGCATCAACTAAGGAAGGCATTCCAGGAGAGCAGAAGCGCATAAGAATGTGGGAGGAAAAGCAACATGAGGATAGCAAAGGGAACAATAAGACAATGGACTTTTCAAAAAAAGGACGAAGGGGCGGGTCTTGGACTCTAGATCCGTCGAGAGTCGTGAGGATGATCCGGGATATGAGAGGTCGGAGGTTTTTTGTCAACTGTGTGAGGGTGTAGCTGAGTTCTCACTATTTTATTTTCTTTTGTCTTTTTTTTTTTTGTTTTGATCAGACTTTCGTTGTTGTTTTCTTCTATTTTTATTTCAGTCAGACTCTTGCATTAGGTTGGGGTGATGAGGAGTCTATTCTAACCGCGTTAGGCTCATTTAGACCCATTACAGGATCAATGAGTCATATTGCTATTTCAGGGTGACTGACTCTAAGTCTGGTTCGAAGGTCGATGATCGGAAGTGATCCTTTTATCTTCTTCTTCCCTTGTTGAATGCCTTGATATCAATTTAAGTCGTCTTGTTCCCAAAAAAAAGTCTGATGGAATTGGCCAAACATGTTGTATTTAAGTTTATTCTTTTGTGGTTTATTCAAATATGACCTTTAATCATGTAATATCATCTTGTGCGATTTAATTGAATTTAAGGATGTTTTCAAGGTCATTGAAATTCTCTAAAATGAATACATCATGCGAAATTGGAAATCCGAGTGCACATATATTTTTACTAAATGGATCACTTTTCACCTCTCCTTTTTGCCCTCTGCAAATGGATCTGCCCGTATAGAAATGGAGAGGATCCAAATACTTGTTGGTGGGTCATGAAATGATCTACCCCTGGCTGCCACACCATCATTCCCATGACGCCATCCCAAACAAAACACATCATCAATCATCATCATGTATGTGTATGTATGTATGCATATTGTAGGGAGTAATGATCATCGATATTCATGATGCCACTGTATGCTCAGTCGTCCTTGAGCAACGCTGTAAAATTATTGCCATTCGAATGAAGCCGCCTATGATGCTTACACATGCATCATCCTTCAGCAGCCGACAAACTGGATACTTAATGCACTTCTTTTACTTTTATCATTTCAAATATAAATGTTTTTACATATTCGGGTCCTAAATAAACTTCACACTTTCCATTTTGGGTAGGTCCAAAATAAACTTCACATTTCTTCTCCCTTCCTTATTTGGCAAATTATCTACATCAAAACAGTGTCAAACAGTGCCAAACAGTGTCACGAAAGTGTCCTCTAAAGTAAAGTCAAATTTATTTTCTTAATTTGTGTGAAGTCAAAATGTAAAGTTTATTTAGGACCGGAGGGAGTACAAATTAAAAGCCTATGAGCTAACCTCCATTTTCCACCCATCCCTTTTTTAACTAAATTGAAAAATATGATGAATTGAAAAAAATTATATTTAAAATATATTTTACTGATAAAAAAAATTATATGAAAAATAGTTAAATGATCATCTTCAATAACTTCACCATATTCAACCTCAATTGTATTTATTATGATTATTACTACCTCCGTCCCGAAAAGGCTTGTCAGATTGATTTTTCTTGGTTAACTTTGGACAATGATTTTAATTATTATATTTGTATATAATTTATAAATTTTATACTTTTATTAAAAAATTTTGAATAAGGAACAATTTGATATAATTTTCATATTCAAAATAATTTCGTATTAAAAATATCATTGTCAAAGTTGATCGTTATTGATCAAGAAAAATCAATTTAGCATTGGGGACGGAGGGAGTACGTAATTTTGTACGTGAAATCAAAAGTTATGTGTTTAATAAAAATTTCAATTCATAAGCTGCAAGTAGAGCTTATAATTAGATGATTCGCCCAATCTTTTTATCTCATGCTTTGGTTGAAACTGCATTTGTGACTGAAGAGGCATTTTTAAATCCTTTCAAAAAAACACCACAATAGTGAATACAGATGATTATTTCAGCTATTTTCATATACTTTTTC